TTCATAATTTTTTTATTTTTCTGGAAAAAAAATTGAAGCTAACTGCAAATGCACAAATTTCTTTTCATCAATAATTTATATACATAAAATTAGAATATCTCCTGTTTATGCACTTGTCTCAAATATTCTCTTTTTCTCACTTCCGTTATTTTTCAATAAGTAAAAAAATAGTTAAAGTGGCTGTGTAAGTGAAAGTTATGTTAATTGGTAAAAAATCACGATGTAACTCATGATACGATGTAAAGTTATCACATTAAATTTAAATAACTTTTTTGAGTTTATAATCTTTCAGGTAACAAATGCAATCTTCAAATAATTTCGTTAAAAAATGTAAATTTAAAAAAAAAAAAAAAAGAATTTTTGCACTAAAAAAATTTTTATAAAGTAAAACACATTAGGAAAAATACGATAAACATGTTGTCGCATATGTTTATTTTGTAAATTGTAAATTCACTAACTAATAAAGTGAATTAATGACTTTGACTTTTAACTTTTAATATCCATACATGACTGCTTTTACCTATTTATTAACTTAAAGAATTATTTTAAGAAAACATTCTGAAATCAAATTTTCAATTTTTGTTGGTTTCTGAAAACATATTTATCTTTTATATTTATTAATTTAGTGCATGAGTGGTTCATTTGTGCACAATTCCTAAGCAAGTTAAACATTAGATTTGTTTCGTCGTTATGCCTTATAAAGAAGAATCAATTTGCTCTGCGATGATTTTGAATATAATTTGATTTTCTATTATGAAACGCAATGATTTTTAATACATCACATGCTCATAAAGTTGAATGAATCATCATTAATGAAGGCTTATAATAATAGCTAATATTAAAAATAGAACTTACCAATACTTTCTAAACTGCGTTGAGCAAAATGAAAAATGAAGTAATATGAGCTCATTTTTCCTATTTCTTCACTTTTTACTCCTTCTAGTGTTGAAGTATTCGTAATTAATTTTAGAAACTTTGCGGAAATAAAAAGCGAATTTATTTTTCATATATGACACTACTAATACTGTTGGGCAGAAAAAGCGAAAAAATGCATTTGTTGCCTAGCATGATTAATCTTGCAAATAATCCTCATTGATCCTTTTACTTCCAAGTATCAAAGTAATGCTTGGTCAGGTATAAAGTTATTATACATCAATGAATTTAGGATGAGATCTTGCAAATCCATAAATTTTTCATTTCCAAGTGAAGAGCGTGATCAAATCCTTGGTATAGTCATATTTTTAGTAAAATGTGACAACGCGAAACTACGTCAACGTATTCTTGCTAAATGAAATACTTGAAGTATAAGGACCTGAATATCTAGTCTTTTTTCTTTGCTTTTTTTAAATTAAATACGAAGTAAAATGAGTTAAAACAATCGTTTTTTCGGCCTTATATAAAACTTCAACAATTAAATGTAATCACAAAAACAGGAATAAATTTTCTATGAAAATCTATGTGAAAAGCAACATATTTTCCAGCGTACGCAGCAATCATCTTAACAAAATCCTTTAATTCATTTATTTTCAAGTACATATTTATACAATATAAATCCATATAGTCGTAAAAAGAGCACCGTTCAATCTAAAAAATCTAAATGGCAGAAGCGTAATATCAGGTATAGAATTAATTTTTTTATCGCTAATTTATAAAAACGAACGAATTCGTATATCCATGGCATGAAAGGAAGAATGTTATGAAAATATGAAAAGCCTATAGACTAATTTCTTGGCAAATTTGTCCTTAATTTTCTTTCGTTTTTTCTTTGAAAAAAGCTGGGCTATGAATGATGTTGTACAATAGTTAATCTTAATATCACCATTTTTCTATCCATAACGAATTTAACCATTTTTAAAATACTTTCAGCTAACTATTTGTAATCATTTTCTGTTTTTATGCAAGAAGGTTTGAATTTTTAATTCCACAGCTGCTCTTTAAAATTTTTCCATATTTTTTAAACAATTATTGTAACAACGAACAACGAAGAAAAAATTATCGAGACTAATTTGAGTCAGAAGAAGCTAAAAATGAAAGTGGGAGTAAATAGTGACAAATAAGAAGCCTGGTGCTTTAGAGCCTCATCCTATATTATCGAAACTCTCTCCAGTTTCTTCTAAGTTTTAAAATTTGAAAAACTTCGTTTTTCATTTTTCTTTTCTGAATTATTTATTCGTATATTCAGTAATTATACGTTCATTTAAAGCATACAAATTTAATCAAATCACTACATAAATCGTCATGCATTGATTTAACAAAACTTTTTCCTGTTAATTGTTTACGACAATTTTCAAGTTAGTGTCATCAATTCAAAATTTTATGGTTGGAGTTTTGTAGAAAAATTGTCATAATTTATATTCAAACCTTCATATTATTCAGGCTGAAATATTCACCTTATAAGATTTTTTTGCTGTAAATTATTGAAGCTTTGCATTCTAATTAACTTCGTGTTCTCAAATTTAAAAAACGCGACAAAAAGTTACTGACATGAATATATCACTGGAGATGAAATGCTTTACATGGATTTGAAAACTTAGCATAATATGTTTTAGTTTTATGTTTCAACAAATACGAAGACATTTGATGCTGTTGAATAAACCTAAAATTTTAGTAGTTGGAATCATTGCTAACTGTAATGAAGAAGTCGAAAAAGTAATTGTAGAACTGTTATATTAATAATCGTTATAATTTATATGTTTTTTAGTCTTACCATATGTCGTTTTTCTATAAATTTGCTTTAAATGGATTGCTTCACTCTCTGTTAATAATTATCAACTGTCGTTTTTGAACTACTTATTTCTTATTTTTCAGCTTTACAATCTTTTTCCGATTCAGTTCATTTCAGAAAAAAGTTACTATTATTTGCAAAAAATTGGATAGTATAATTTCGACCAGACAGATTTAAAAGCATGCAATAAGCTGCGCATAAAATTATACGTTTTTGAAATGATTTGAATGATAAATAGAATGCAATTTTGATTACTAAAAGAATTGAAGCATTTAATTAAAAGGCTTTAAATACAAACGCTGATGGTTGTCGTCACTTCTTCCTAATTTGAGAATATTGAAAATGCTACATTACAGAATGTAACACTCAATTTTCTGTTTTATTTCACTTGCATCTTAATACATCATCGCATAATAGCATGAAAATTTTTTAAGAGCACTCAAGATAATTAAGTATACCATGTTCGGAAAAGCACCTGGTCGAATCATTGATTCTTTGAAGTATTGAACTATTAAACATCACATCAAGCAAATATCACATTATGCAGCTCTTGATCTAGCACTAATTCAATAAGGAAGTTTTCTGTGACAATTTATTCATTTCTTCTCAATTTTAAGAGCGTAGAGAGAGCAATATAAATCGACTGCCCATTTATTTTTGAACAATATGTTCATAAGAATTACTGTTGAATTTTCACTTATTAATTTACTAATAATTATGTTATGCAAACAAAACAATCTAGTGTGATATAAAATCCAAGAAAGCTTAAAATTGGAAAGAGTGCTGCGCTGACCAATGAAATATCATTTTCCCCAATTTGTTTCTACATTCTAGGCTTTCATTAGTTTCCAGGAAAGGAGAATATTTGTAGGTCGCAGTTCCAACAAGAAAATAAGTCGGTTTAATACTGATCCTTACAGAAAATCATTCTGAAATACTCAGCTTTCATTTATCCATTATCTGAGAAATACTGAAGAATTTGTTTAATAATAAAAGATGACGATAAACGAACACTGATTATAAATTGTCCTGTTTAATCTATTTTATAAAAGTCGACTTGAACAAAAAAAATTTTTTTTTGTTATTTAAATCAATCAATCTTGATGCTATTAATAACGTTGCTTTTTTATACGAATAACGATTTATGTCGTAAAAACTGGTAATAATATTTATGAGTTTTTTGGGTTAGCGGTAAAAATTTTCGCACTATTTATTACAATGTGAAATCTCTCACAGTTGGTCTCGAGAGATAAATCAATCTTTTATAGCAATGCTATTCTCAAAGAGTTCACTCCATCTATTGTGTTATGTAAATTTACTATCTCTTGTTCTATTAATTTGATGGATATCGTCAAACTTTTACGTCAGAAACGTTTCTTTTTCCATCTCTCTTTTTGTCTATTTCCTTCGAATTTTTTTTTAACTTAAGCTTGTTGCAACTATAAACATATGTGATGAATAGCTTTTCGTCTTCTGATATTTTATGTAATAAATCGATAGTCAGTAGAAGGAAATCTTTCTCAACCTTTGAAATGTTGCTACATGACTAGAATGCAAAATATCATTGCTGATTTGTATTTATTTAAAATAATGATGATATAGATTAATTCCGTAATAAGCTTTAAATTGGGAGCAAATTTCTTCTTAGTTCGCTTTATTACATAAAATGGAGCTGTTCGAAGAGTAATTGATTATAGGCAGCATAGTACGTACTGTTGCTAGTAAGTTTTTTGAGAAGTTACACTACATATTTGCGAAATTGATAGAAAGGAACTTTCGAAAGATTGCATTAGACAAGCGTCAAAATAGGATGATAGTAGATGAGCAACAAAGCCAATGAGTTCAATGTTTAAGCAAAAACCAATTGACAAAAGTTCATTCTGCTGTTACACAACTGTTCAGCACGTCTCAATACAACCAATGAACTACAAGTCAGTACTTGCTGTCACTTGACCTTTGTGCTAATCCCAAAGTCTTTTCCAATAATGTATGTGAATTTTCGTATCTCACAGTTCGGTTACCTTTACGTTCTTCCACTTTCTATCTTACAATACAAATGCGTTCTAAACTCAATAATTGTGAGCAAAAAACAGGCCTAGATCATTAGAAAATATTCATAACTTTGATTTTTTTGTTCTTAATCGTAATGTTTATAGTCGTTCATTCTGTCTTTAGGAATCATTATCAATTTTTTAAGCTGATGTCTAATTTAATTTAAGCATGGCTTGGGTTTTTTATTTTATTTTTCTGATTTTATTGCACACTTTTTTAGATGATGATTGACAATGACCGGCCACCTGAACCCATTGCAAGTGATTACGTTGAACTAGGAACGCTGCTCATTTTGTTTATTATTGGTGGACCGTTAAATCTTGCGGCACATACTCAGGTAAATGCATTTATTTCACAAAAATCATTTTGAAGCTTCAAAATTTTCATTAAGAATTAAAAATGCAAATAAAATTTTGTGGCAATTTCAATTCATGTGCTATGCAAAATTGTAGTACAGGAAAAAAAAGCATTAATTATCTCTGATATCACATACTTTTGCATATTTTTCTGATTTTTAGAATGAAGGATGGCTTCATTTCTGCAGGTATAGGAGTGGTTCCTAGCATCTGTAATTCCTGATTTTGATAATATAAGGAATAACCAAGGTCAGGAATGACAGATTTTGGAGAAAAAGTTGTCTCACATATGCTTGAAATAAACCAGTCTTGACTATTGTAAAATTTTTAAATTTATGATAAATTTGGCTACATCATTATTGCCGAAAAACGAATAGCTTTCCAATCATTCATATAATTTCTTATTCTTTGTCGGTCGTAGGTCATCTTGATTTTGACCTTTACTAAGTAAGAGGATTCATTATGTCATAAAAAATATTTGAGAGAGTTAACTCAGGAAGTTTTACTTAAATAAAATTATTTGTCATAAAATCACAAAAAAATCAGAGGCATTGAAGAAAACATAACAGTCAAGGCAACGTCCAACAACAACAATATTGTTTCATTCCCGTACTGACATTTTAGGAATCCTGAACCGAAAACTGGATAATATGACCTCATCTCAATAGTGTCCTAATTCTAAAGGGAGCTACCTACATTTAAATCAAAGAACTCAACAATGTTGAAGGCTGCAAAAGTTTTTTTGAAGACTGAAAAAATCAGCAGCGAAATTTTTTTATCCCTTGATACATCAAAAAAAAAATCTTCGCAAATTGTTACAACATCATGTCTTCCACCCCAATGTCAAAACATTAAAAAGCAAAAATTTTAACAAGATTTCAGATCACAGAGCGACCATCGGCTACACGTCTTGATATCTTAAAACGACATTTGAATTATTCTGATTTATTAGTACTGTTCATATATGTACCATCACGAGTCTGTTGGCTACTGACGTATGACTGGCGAGGTGGAAATTCTTTATGTAAAATTATCAAATTCCTTCATACATTTTCTTTTCAGGTGAAAATTTCAAAATTTATAGGAAAATTTGTTGCCTTTAAAAAATTAATCAAAGCTCGGATGTGTCAGTCCACTTAGTTACAGAAATGATGTTTAAGTAATATTTATATTATAGGATTTTGTCTAAAGTGAATTACTGTGTGGCTTTCAATCACTTTATTTATATTTTTCTGTTTAACAGAAAAATCATTGGAAGCAGTTTTAATGTCTTGATGATTTTTTTTTGCTGATGAATTTTTCTTTTTTTAAATTAGGCAACAAAATATCTATCTTCCTGAAGGATTTTTATAAATTCTAATAAAGTATAAAAAGCAAAGAAGAATTGTGGCAATAATTTTAGATATCCATTCTGCTTTCCGAAATTAGTAAAAAGAGCAGTGCATGACTTTACTTCTGTCCAGACGGTGCTAACCTCGGAAAGTAGAATTGACGTCAATAGTTTTTCAATATAAAATTTCATCAGTTTACAGCTGGAGATTTTTCGTCTAAAGTTTGGCGCTAAAAATAATCAGTAATTAAAATCGTCATCGATAGATGCCAATCTTCTTGAAATCACTATATTATGATTAAAAATCTGAGTTCAGGTATCATCAAATGTGATTGTTTGTATAGCAATTGATCGACTATTATCAGTAATGTCATCACAACATCATTCATCCGAAAAAGCCCAGCGAAGGACTCGAGCCATGCTTATGGTAGCATGGATTGCTGCTGCTATTATTAGCACACCACAGTTTGTTGTATGGAAAACATTTCTTGCATTTGAGGAGCTTAACTGGAGTCAGTGTATGCAGGTAAATATTGCTTTAACATGTGACTTCAAAAATTTTGAGAATTTTTGAAAATCTGTTTCATTGATGGTAGGTATGAAATATTATTTTCGTAATTGTATATCTATTTTAGTTGTATTTAAATTTTCATTTTTCCCTTTTGATTGCTTCGCTTTAGATTCTGAATGAATTTAACTACAGATCTGGGAAATAATTCGCGTTGAACAAACTATGCAAAATCGTAGTGTCGGGATATCGCGTCAACTGATGGAACAAGAAAACATTTATGTTGTTGTTCATATGATGCTGATTTTTTGGGTTCCAGCAACTACTGTTCTGGTTTGTTTCTTTGTTTCTTTCAACTACATCTTTCTATCCTTTGTCCAACAGTAAATTCTTGAATAAAAGGAGATACTAAATCAATAAATGTATGATATTAGGTAAATTTTTCTTGTAGTAAAGTGAACTGCAATGTTTTGCAGTTGTGTTATCTAATTGTATCCTGTTGGGTTTACCTAAATTCACGGCCCAAAACAAAGACCGTGATGTACTCGCGTAATGCTATCGGTTACAAAGGCAGCAGACGGTGCATAAGGAGCCAACAGAAATCTTCTGGTATGTGGAAAATTTCAGATTTCAGATGTAGTTAAGATCACTGATCACTGGAAAAATGTAACCAACTGTAAACCTAAGTGACTTGTCCAAATATAACCAAACGAATATGAAACGAAAGGATAACAAGAGAAGACCTCTGTTTTGAATTAGCTCTATTTACTCAATTTTGGATTCTCCTTTAAAACAGATTGTACAGTATTCATTACTAATACTACCACTGATAATAATAATAATAAATCATTAAATAACAAATAGTAGCAACTTATCCTTTGTTTGGCTAAAAAGTTATTTATGCTACCACAACAGATATTACCCAAAATTTTTGGAACAGATTGTTTCGGAAATCCACTACTTGTTTTCGCCAGAAATTTTGGCCTAATAAAAAGTGCTAATAGTGTTTGTAGTTGGAGTCGGAAATTTTGGCTTAGAAAGGCAGAAATTCTTAGGCGGTTCGTAATGAGCTCATTATTCCGACGTCTCCACTTTTCTTTCTGGTATGGTTCGGGCATGGAGATATACTGAAGCATTCAGATAAGCACAATTTTTTTCTTTTTTTTTAAAAAAAATGCTTTTTATCCACGACTTCTGCGTAAATGTATGTGTGTAATTTTTGTGAGCAAACTGGAACCATTTTTATTTTGAAACTTCCTTTTTGTATTTGGAAGGCTTTTCCTTCAGGCTCTTAGATCTTTTTTTGTTTCTGTTGACCTTATAAGAGCTCAAGTCATAAAACTGAAAATATGCGAGAAACATATAAAGTATGAGTCACTAAACTTAAAGTAATCGAATTAATAAGCGTGAGAACAGCTCATACCACCGAATGTAAATATCTAGAAAGGAAATACATCTTTCATTTAATTATTACTCAAAATAAACGAAAAAAAAAACCATTAACAAGATGTTCCTTCTCATTAGCCTGTACGTCTGATACGTACAAGCGTATTATTGATCATTATTATTTGAAGGGATGAAGCGCACATAGAGAAGTAACGCGCTATGTGAAATAGAAAATAAAGAAAGGGTCATGGTGATGGATAGCTGTCGAAATGAGGCGAGGGGTGGATTATTGCTACTCATAGATTGTCTAAGGTTGAAGTCCATCTACGCCTCAAGTTTTTAAGGAATACCCATCAAGCATATCTTGGCTTGTAACCGGGACTAAAAGAAATATATTTGTTTATAGACTAAAAATAAATGAACAATCCATAAAGTAATTTAATAACTATAAAATTGTTTGCGATCAAAATATGGGCCGGGTTTTGTTATTCAAATTGGATTTGAAATCAAACGTGATCATCCTAATGGCAACAGTCATTCTGTAATTCATAACATAACGCAATAAAAATACTTACGATCTGCAGGTTGGAAAGCTATAAAACCGACGCCAAAGAACGGAAAGAATGAAAACACATCGTTGCCATTAAGACGTACGTTTTTCTCAGTCACTGCTTTATCATTTTTTACAGAGATGTTTCATGAAATTAAAAAAATGTTGATTGACCCAAGAAGAGAAACGGTCATTCAACTGCACTAAATCGCAGTGATCGTTGTTTTGTCGTTCATAGCAGCGCATCTCCCTGCTGATGCTGTGGTTGCATGCTAGATGCAGTCCTATATGAGGATTTTGAATGATATATGAAGCCGATCACTGGAATCATTCTGTTTAATTTATCCATTGACTAGTCATTCTTGACTAGTTTATACTTTCATACTCTCAGTGTAGTTTTAGCGAATCTGCGCATCGTTATTAGTGAAAATGGTCAGGCAGCCAGGAGGCAACCGATAACGAAACAAGAGAAAACCAATAGTGCCGAATGCGGCTCAGATGGTTACGTTATCAACTATCGGTCGTACAACACTAAAATTATACGGTGAGTTTATTGTTAAGTATATTTCCCAACTTACAGTCTTTAAATTATATAGCTTTATTTAATTAACATATGAAAGTTTCAGGAGTCGAGCGATTCGAGTAAGTTTTCAACTGGTGGCTGCTTATATAATATGTTGGTTACCCTACAATGGGCTTAGTTTGTATCATTTTATGGACCCTCAAGGATTTTTTGAGGCGCATGCTAATAAGGCAAGTTTTTTTTTTTTAGAATATTTTGGACCAAAACACAGTCAAAAAATTTATATGAAAATATGTTAATTAAAATGATCTTCCAGGTCTATTGTTTGCATAGCATTATGGTTTTCAATGCAGTAATCAATCCATATCTTTATGGACCATTTGGGAATTTCTTATCACCGAGACGGACTGATACAAACTAATGTACTTCATTCATTTATGAATCTAAAACTTTTGTTATAGCCGTGTTCCCTTTATAACAAAAAGTTTGATAACATTCTGGTCATAATGAGAAGATCGTCTCAAAAAAAGCTTTTTCAAATGTTTGTGACGGTGAAATCGACGTTTCGTGCACAAGTTCCTTTAAACCAAGTTTAAAAAAAAAATGAGCTAGCGGCGTCGCATAGAGCTCTCAAGAAGTTTGTCTATAGTCACGTAGATGCGAATAGACTAATTTACTAGTAATATTTATTACTAGTAAAAGTATTGCAGTTTATAAAGACCTGAATTTATATATGGATTTCCTGAAGAAAGTTGAATTCAATTAGAAACTATTAGAACTGGTAGGAAGGGATGACGCAAACGAATAAGTGAAGTGCAATTGATCTTATAGCTTAAGGTTCCAAATTTCATTCCCGTATTAATGCGCACTTGGAATATATGCAGATAAAAGCACAGTATGCGTCTTTTTCACAACTGATGGAACTTGAAATAAATTCAATATGAGATGTAAGCAGTCGTTACGTTATTACACTCAAGATAAGATTACTGTTATTAATGTGCATTCAATAAAACATCCGTTTGAGAATTGTATAATGGTTTATTTTGTCCGATATATCTTTCGAAAGAAGGTGACTTTAAAAAGGCACAGCAATCCTTAGTATTGGGCTTGGAGTCGAAAGATATTCACGAGAATGAGCTAGCTGTTAAGCTTATGATTTGACTAAATTGAGAGACATTTCTTACAATTATACAATCAATTATTCTATTTCATTTATTTAACTCAAATTTGAAGATATTATGTGAAATGATTTATTCAATATAATTTGATCCGTTAGATAAAATTCAATGATATAAATCTCAATCATGGATAATTAAAGCATGTCGAATTTTGCAGAATATGTTCGAATTTTTAGGGAGAACTACGCAGCAACAACCGTGAAGATATGAATGAGCTAAGTTGCAACTAATCCGACTACCCCTTCCTCTTAACATCTCCACATGGCACCAGTCGGATTTTGAACATGGTTATCTTAAGGTCACTATAGAAGCTCGTTGATATTCAAATCGTATTACCTAAACTAACAGTCTTTCTGTAGTTGGCTTGCAGAATCGTACGTTGGTTATGAGATATAATCTGCACATTTTACTTCTGCTTTTTTCTCATGCCATTCTCATTTACGTCGTTTCCATGCTATTAGCATATAAGTTGATTGGTCGTGGTAGATCGTATTGTGGATATAGATCATTGTTTCAGAAATTGAAACAACGACTCTTTTTTCTGTTTCTTTTTTTTAGAACATATTTAGAACAAATCTTTTTTACAAGTTTTCTTTTGCAATATTTCTTTAGTTAATGAACTCTGTTGGTTATTTTGGCATCTTCAATAAATAAGTCTATAATATCCATATCAAGCATGAATACCGTTGCTATGCTTATTTCTCATATAAAACGTTGGTTATTTTAAATGTATAAAAAATTTTCTTGTTTGGAATGTACAATTAGAAATTTGACAATAAGAAATTCAATTATTGCAACTCATATCTCACAACAGTTGTAAAAGTGCTAAATGCTAGTAGAGTTGATAAACTAACGGATAACTGCTGATCTTTGAGATATTCTTCCTACTGTTAAAGTTTAAAGGTTCATCATTTCATGAGTTTGACTCAAATAATTCTCATGTGCAATTACCCCTTTTAACTAAAAATAAATATAATCATAATATATCATGTTGATGTGGTTTTAACTTGATTTGGTAAGAATTTGAAATGAGACAGTGTAGAGAATCAGTTTTACAGCAAAAAAAAAGAAAAAAAAAAAAAATGAGCATTCTTGCTTTTGCTTTGTTTAATTTATTGAGATGAGATGGATAATAATGGCAGTGGTGATGACTAGTAATCATATGTAAATTCCATTTGCAGTAAAATATGCCTGTCGCTTGCATCGAGAACCATATCGATATGAATTACAAATATATTATTGATGCATCCCACTGCTGTTGCTTTATTTTGATCCGAAATAAATTCGTAATAAGAATGACAGGGATGACTTTGCTAATTCTGTTCTTTATTTTTTGATGTTGGGGTCGAAGATTTTGGTTTCTAATGTAGCTTTAAAATAAAGATTTACTTAGTTGGTGGTATTCAAGTAAATGTTATTCAAATTAGTTTTCATGTTTCATTGTGTCTAGAACAATTTAAAGTTCATATCATTTTGAATGTTTGAAGGATGATTCTTCAACTTATACTCGATAATAGTTAACAAAAGGAATTGATTTAGAGATGGACTCAATTTTTCTTTATCCCATTAATTCAAAGTTTTGGTTTTGCAAAAAAAAAAAAAAGAATACTTTTGTATTTTTACGAGTTTATTTAACAATCGAGGAAGACCGACTATGCTTAATTGAATCAGAGAAATTCGGAAAAGTTCCGATGTAATCCCTCAACGATAATGTCATGCTGTTAATTGCTGCAGACATTTGTTTTATTAGCGATTTTCAACTTTTTAATTGTATAATAAATCAGTTTTTTTTGGAGGAAATAGAATAATATTTTCTTTTTATCGTTGTTTGAATAAAATGAATGTCTGCAGCAATCAACAAGGTTGCTTCAGTATTTAAGTGGAAATGATGAACAGAACTGACTGAAATGAAATGATGGAGTGAACGCTGCAGATGAAAATGAACGATGCATAGCTCTCATATTTTTGATCATTAAAATGATGGGAATGTTTCCCATATAGATTTGTTCAAACTATGTCAAATTTCCATTTCAAGAGAAATATTCAAATATTTATTATTCAAATTAATTAAATAATTTATTTAGGCAATTATAATTCAGATTACTTGATTTTTGGACCGTTTTTTGAAATCATAAAAGTATATTCGATTCTTTAACTATGATTTAAAACTGAATTTTTTTTGACTTTGATAAATTTTAAAAAGCAGATTACGATTTAAGGAAAACTATTGATATTTTCTGTTCGTACCAGTATCCCCTTTCTTTTCCGACGATAAGCTAATTTTTGGAAAAAATTTAGGAATTTGAGGGTGTTGTTAGTTTCAGGAAACTTTGTATTCCTAGGTAATCACATTTTCAGTCAACACATGATCCTGCCTAACGCGAAAAGATCTTAGCGAACTTTCTCCAATTTATAGTCTTTATCTAAAAACGCCACAACACTTTGAGAAGAAATTTGTACATCCAAACAGACCGGTCAAGAGAAGATAAGAGATGAAAAAGAAAAATAGAAGTTTGCACATTAATTTCATATCCAAAGCATTTCCTTTCAATGAGTTTTTTCTCTATGTAACATAAAAATTCTTTTGCAGTCACTCCTTAATATAATTATCTTTCATATAAAACTTGATATAACAACCATTTTTTGGTATAATTCTTGCATATTATTAATTACCAATATGTTCATTTCTAAAAGAGATTAAAATTTTTTTTGAAATAACTCCTGATATTCTGTGGTTGAAGAAACGGTATGATTCCGGATGATGCATCTGTTGACTTGTTGATAGTTTGAAAGAAGTAGTTATTTAGAAGAATGAACGTTGTGATAAATACTGTTACAATTCCTAACATGTTCATTTGTAAGGAATAATTCCCTGCAAGGAAACAGGATGAATTAGATTATTCCGTCTTTTTCGCTCGACATGCAAAGCAAGCATTCATTTTGAGAATTTCTTGCCATCCTTTGTCATACAATTATTCATCGGCTTATTTATTTATTTATACACTTAGCGATTTGCTTATTCATTTATTCATATATATGAAATGAAAATTGAGAATAAAATATGTGCAATATTTGTCTAATGATAACATGTGAAGTTCAATGGCTAATTAAATGTTATGATATATTGCAATGATAATTGTATGATTTATATACCTGGATGAAAGCTAATCACATGCCAGCTCTTATTTTTATAGATTTATTGCATAAAAGTTTCAATGAGGATACAATTGATCATAGTAAGTTCTTACTATCGTTATTGTAGTTATTATTAAATATAGAACTTCATATACCTTCATCAGACTACAATGTATTAGATATTTGATCTGAAAAGCATGAAAGCAATTCCTTATCTTATCACATAGTATCATCTTTAAGATTGATCCTTTTTTACAGAAAAGTGAAATTGAGGAATTGCTTTAAAAGAAGCATGTGACTAGTATGTGTGACTCAGATATAATCATTATATTAAAAGGTTTCTAAACATTCAACAACCCAAGCACTTTTGTTATTTATTACTTCCGTAAGTCCATGACGAGGAAGTGGTAGTGGAGTAAAACCATGGCTTTCCTTCACTGTTGTGAAGAATTTCCTTTCCCCCTATTCGTTAGCGGTATTTTAGCATACATTTCTACATTTCTTGCATCTTGTCTTTTTGTTTCATTTTTCAATCAAATTCCTTTCATGTCATTGCAAATTATTTCCTATAACATCTTTCAAACACTGTTAAATTTATTCACTCATTAGTTAGCGTTTGTTAAACCGAATAAAAATATCAAAATTACTGCAGATACAAATTGGTAGAAGACCATACAGTTCATATTTACAACTTTGTGGTTCATGACATTTAGCTTTCTTTTTACCTCAATTATTACCCCAGAAATTTGGGCTTAATAGAAAGTGCTAATAATATTTATAGTTGAAGTCAAAAATTTTGGCCTAGAAAGGCAGAAATCCTTACCCGATTTATTTCACATCCAACAGATTCATTGTCAGATGATGATTTCCACAACTCCTTTTATTTTATATCATGTAAACTGCATTGTTTCTCTTTATGAGCAAAATGTTATAAATTCGTTCATCTCTCAATTAACAAAACTTTAAACTAATGATCGTTTTTGCAGCTATAGAAGCCTTATGACTTCTGAAACTGTCGATGTTGCCTGACGTATCACATGCCAAACACGGATTAGAACTCTAGTATTTCTATTAATATGCCGACTAAAAAGTATAACGCACAAATTACAGTAGCGAAATTTACTGTCAGCTCAGATTCCTTGATAAAACTGATGATTTTAATTACTAACTAGCACAGAACTCCTACTTGAAGATGAAACGGTTGAAATCATAGTTCATTAGGAATGGCAAATTAATTATAAATTTAAAAATCTACACGTGCCTATTTATTGCGAATGGGACCGTTGAAACAACAACAACATTTATTATTATGAAAAGTTGTTTCAAATTTTAGAGTGTTCTGGAATTCTCGAAATTTGCTTACTTTCTTTCCATAGGGAATTCTGTGTTTTTCGCAAACATGGAAATTTAGTTCCGCTTTGAAATTTAAAATCAAAATTTAAATCATTTTAAAAATGAGTCTGAATTTTAATTTTATATTTTTCCATGGAAAAGCTTTCATTACGAAACTGAGATAAATTTTGCTTGATAAAATTAAGGACCACCCACTTGCACTTTCTTATTTCTCGGTCGCAGCTAAAAGCAGGCATGAAATCCGTATTTAATCAAGCCAAATGAGAAACCACACTTTAAAATCGTCCCATTGTCGTTTATATCAACATTGAACAATCGAAGCACAAAAGAATGCAGTTATTTTCTTCTTTTTTCTGCATATACCTTCATGAGAGCTCAAATTGGACTGCACATACCAATTATTCAATTTACATCAAATTAAACAAAAGTTGGTGAAATGCCAAATGGTCATCCAAAATTGGAATTCGAAAAAGTTCGATGAAAATCCCTGTATAATGCGAAAATCGTGCTTTGCTGAGAAATTTTTCATTGAGATGTTGAAAAACAAATGTCATTAACTTCTAAATGATAGTATAAGAGGTATTCTAAAATTCTATCACTTCCAGTAAAACTAGAATGATTAAAATGATAACAGATTTTTTTATACTCTAATCAGTAATTAGCAGAATAATTTTTTTAAAAAGCAATCAGAATGTATGTGTATATAGCGAAGGGAAGGAATATAGATGAGAAAATTTTTATGTTATTCTAATAAAAAATTTCTTTCCTCGCAGTACATCGCACCAAGCGTTTCCTGTAGATCATATTTGTCGTTTTGTAATGTGCAATGAATAATACTGGATACCTTGATTACTTCATGACTATTTTTTATATTCTGATTTCAACACTCAGCGCAATTTTTCTTGTAACAATGCACTTCTGCACTACCTTCCGTAAATGACAACAATTATGTAGTGGTGACTTATCGACAATTCGGTCATCAAGTATGTTGACAACCCTCACTTCACATGTTATGGAACATGATATATACCAATTTAGTATGTATCAAATTCTCAACTGATATTATATGACATCCTTTTTATGAAGTCAACTATTTTCTTCAAATTAACTTAAAGTTTGCTTTCCCTGGAATTTGAAAAATGTTTCAGTTTGAAAAAAATTTGAAATTTTTAAGTGACATTTGCACAATAATGCTTTTATAAAAGTATGTCGAAATGGATTGTTGAAACTTTCTTTTATCTTTGTGCTTCACTGATTCATTTCTAAATTCATTCCCTTGTCTTCTGCTGTGAAATAGGAACTTACAATTTTTTTCTTTTTGTCATTTCTGTTACTGTCGTTGTTTCAGAACAATAACAATAACAAAAATATTAGTTATTCGAAATTATACTTTAGCAGAATAAGAACCTAATAAGCTGGCCGAAGAGATTAATTTGAGAAGTAGCGTAATTTCTTTCTGTTAACTTAATACAGTAGCTACAAATCAGTGTTAAGTGCTGTTTTACAAGTCATTTGAGAATTTTCACAGTAAGAAGTTTCGTTCGAGAATGTCACAAAGAATCCTTACTGTCTTGGTTCCTAGTTGATGAGCTTTGACTAATAGGAGTCAAAGAAGGCTCGAATCCTTCCATTTTAACATTCAAAATCGTTCTAGATTTTTGTTTCTTGTACTCATCCACAGTTGACATTTGACTTCACGACATTTCACCAAAAATTATGCAGTATGACTTTCACTTAAAGGTATAAGGTATCATGTAGATTCTTAACTTACTAGATAACAATAATGTTTGGCTTTTGGAATGATATTTAACCCAGTCGCGAAAACACGGCTTAGCACACTTGTATTTTCGTAGAAGCTTGGCTAGATCGGAATTCATCGTTTTAAGAATACAATTTTTCGTTTTGTAAGGGTACCATAGCAGCACTGAAAAATATTTATGAAATAAAAAAAAAAAAGTAAAATCATGAAGTAAATCTTAATAGTTTAATTTCAGAAAATTTTCGCGAAGTTCAAATTAATGGATTCAAATAAATAAGCTTATTAGCGCTGACATGCTTTGAAAACAAAATGTCTAGTGTTGTTCCTCATTTACCATATTATTAACATAATTAACAATTTGACATAAGTAAAGGGAGTTAATGAGTGAAGAAAGCACTTATTATATTCATCGTTAAGTGAAGCCAGAACTACCAGTCGTTGGTGAGACGTAATATTTCTTATCTTTTCTATGCCGTTTCTATGTAGCAAATTCCTAATATTTGCATTCCTATGTGCCCGTTGTTGAAGATTTTTAATTCATTGCTCGGAAAGAGATCAGAAAATTTTAATAGCCAAGTTTAAATATATTTCAGCAGAAGATATTTGTTTGTTTTTAATCTGGAACGTAGTTCATTTTGATACGAGAAATTTAATTGCACAATATTTAGAAAATACTTTGCTCTTCCCGGTGAATGAAAGGAGGTCAAATCAAGCCGCGACAAAAGCACTATTAACAATCGTACAATGCACTTCGTTCATACATATTTCCTGCTCTTTTACTGCTTTATTGTACAGTTTGTTACAATAACAGTAGCAAGTGCTCATAATGACGAAGCATTGTATGCAATTTTTTATTTTGTAAACAAAAATATGAATTATAATTTAATCTATAGGCCTATTGTATCCAGCCTTGATAACATAAAAGGAATTACAAAATGAAAAAAATGGACAGCTTTAAACGCTCACGTCATATAAGTCAAGGGTATTCAAAATAACCGAAAAGGTGATATGATACCTTCCCAAGCATAAAAATGGTCCGGAATAGTGCTCAGGTGTGACGGTGTAGCGTGGAAAGATATGGAAGATACGAAGTTGTGAATTCATTTGTTAAGTTTGCAAATCATAATCGACACACTATTGTCAGTATTTACTTTTCTCTAACAAAAGCATTGTTTCAGAGGAGAAAAACGTGCAATACGTAATGCTTTGGTACGCTTCGATCGATCGGGCATAAGAAACGCCCTCGTCAGGTTATTTTCAACTAAATCATTGAAGAAATAGTAACTGATACTGTGTGAGAAGTAGTGTGAACAAAGAGTCACATTAGAAATCACAGCTTTGAGAAAGGAAAGCTATTTGCCAAAAACAGAACAGGAGGAATCGAAGATTATTTAGCTAAGCTTTAAGGGAAGAAACACTAACACCTAACCATTTAACAAAAAAACAATGACTAGGAAATCATGCAGGATGCAAGTATGTGTATCTGCTTCCCAATCAAAGTTCGTGATGTTCGGATTGAACCATTTCCTCTGATTGAACAAGCAGACTTTAACTGCTTCTTGTAAGCAAGAGTTAGAAATCGTAATGAAGCTTCAAATCATACGCCTCTATCTTAGCATCAGTTCTTTTTCACGTGCATATCAGACTAAAATACTGAGGTCACACTTGATAAAAATAAAGAAGGATTATGTATTTTTGTCTTAACTCTACTTTAGGTTTGGAAAGCGGATGTCTGATATGTATTTCTTAGATGCAGAAAATAGACGAGCTACGGCTCTAAATCCGTCCGGTAAAGTTTCTTTTTGACATCTGATGAAATAACTGTACTAGTTCATTACGTCTTTTACGATGTAAACTGCCGAAAATTATAATAAGTTGAGCTTTATGTAATGTCGATCTCTTCACTTTTATAATATTGAAAATACTATGATGTTGATGATTTGGCATGAATAATAATTTCTGTCCAAATTCAGTACAGTTTCATCATTTTGAGCATTCGAATTATATATCAAAGATATTCTTTCAAAAATTTAATGACTACAGTGCGATGATGATTATTTGCGTTAGATTCACTTCGTAGTTGGAATCCAAACTGAATTTCCTATCCGACTAAGTCGAGTTGTGATATCCCGTAGATCATCCGAGTAAACAAATGTTTCAGTGCCCGTACTTTGTTGTGAATTTATTTAAAATTGTGTTGATTGCAATGTCTATTTACAGCACATCTCCAAAAACATGGAGCAAATTCAATTTACCGAGATAGGCAGTGAGCCCAGAGAGCGGTTTCTGACTGAATATACTTCGGAATATTCTGATCGCAATATTTCAGGAGAAAATTTTCTACCAACCTTATCAATTACTCCAGTTCATTAAGTGAAATTTGAAAAAAGTCAGCAAAAAGTCATGTTGCACCTTAATAATCTGAAACAATAAAAAGAAGAATATTTCGCATGAAGATCTGATTGTTAATGAAATTTTTAAGTGGGCGTTGAAATTTTTACTAAGCCAGGTCGTTGTGTCACTTATTCGGTGAATCGCTGTAGCTCTGATGAATCATTACACTTTTAAATACTCTTTGTTCTGGAACTTATTAAGGGAATTGCACAGTTAACACCGTAAAGAAATGTTGAAGCATAAAACGATGCTTATTCAAAATTTTCACCAGTTTGTAATGATGTGAGGTTATTCGTCACATGTGTAATATATACTTAAGTAGAGATACAAAAGAAAATAGGCTCAGGAAAATTTTTTTGTTGCACCAAATGATTCTGAAGATGATAACATAGAACGGGATAATTTTAATGGAGAGCACTCCAGTAAAAATAATCGTTAATTAGTAGAAATCAGGTAAGATAAAGTGAAAATGAATTTAAAAATTATTTACAAATAGAGGGCAACAGTATTCATATCGCAATTCTGTTACAGTGTAATTTCTTCAGCTTCTCTACTTAACCTTTTCCGCTTTTAAAATCATAATTGGAATTTTTAGCAGACACTATAGTTGTCATGGAATGTATTGACTGCCAGATATTTTATTTTGCCTCAAACTTGGGTAATTAAACCAACAAATCAATATTATAACAAGGCGTAACGAATAGATAAAAGATAATTATAAAACACTAAAATAATATCAAGAACCACCCCAAAACGTAGAATGAATTACCGTAGTGGAGGATGGTTAGAACTGAACTGACCAGATATCCGGCAGAGGACATTTAAATGACGTGAAACAAAGGTTGCTAATAATGGGTTTTTTATTGTGTGAGAAAAAGGAATTAGCATAATAGCTTAAATGATTAATTACAAATGCGAAATTATTTAGTGAACGACTTATCAGACATCTGGCAAAAAGTATTAGAATTTGAATGTAATTTAAATGTATCGTTTTTTACGACAATAGTTATGAATACTGAAACCATAGAAATGAAAGAATTATTATTATTAGCAAATTCTAAATTGAATAAATAGCCTTGTCATAAAGTCGCAGAAATATAACTACTAACATGCACTTCTTTTCAGTTTTTTATCCCTTTGACTACAATGAAAATGCATTGTGGGCTAGCATTTTCACAGAGTTGAAGGAAACAGACATTATCATATTTTATTATAGAACAATCAAAGGAGGAAAGGAATGATATATGTCCGAGATATTGAACAGTGCTCAGTCAACTCATAAGTATCTACCATTGAAGAGGTCGAGTTATTCTGCTTGATTCTTGAAAATTGAACTTGAAAGACTTCTTCTAAAGCAGAAGCTCACAACCTTGGTGAAATAATTTGTCGGAATTACCCATAGCCTAGCAACGATTGGTTTTACTCATAAATAGCATGTGGTAACTCAGCAAATTTGAATTTGATGAAAGTGGGACAGTTCTGCCTGCACTATTGATGCATCCTAGATTTACTAATATCTGATTTTTTCCAGTGATTTTTTTTTTTTTTTTTTTGTTTTATGAAATATTTACTGAAATATTTACACTAAATTTCATCGCCCTATATTTGCGCTAGGTTTTTTTATTACCTACTTTATAATATTTATGGCATTGGTATTAATATCACTAATTAGGTTAGCAAGGAAAACATTTGAAATAAATTAAACAATATGTTTTTTCAGCATTGCACTGTCTTTAAAATCTAGCATGAATAAGTATGAAGCAAATTTGAAGACAGATAATTGAGAGGAATAGAAGATAATTCGTAATAAATAATTTGTTGCAAATCTAACTTGGACTGTCGTTAGAAAGTCAAATTGACGAATGATATCGACATGTTTGAGGATTTTCTGGGAAATGAAATAACCGTTTCCATTTCAGTTATAAATTATTAAATGGATGTGATTCAGTTTATTACTAGATTTGACTCGACATTATGCAATGTTTCTTGAAGTGTAAATATCTGGAAAAATAAATAAAGTTTTTTTCAAAACTTCCCCAAAAAATTATGAAAAGAATTTGTGGAATGTCAGTTTCAAATATATCGCTGATACTTACGTCGCGAACATAAACTTAATTTGACCACTGCCCATTAACGTTCACGTTCTCAGATGATCAGTACGCAAAACTGACCTGTCTCACCGATTAGGACATTTTCATTACTTTACAACTACACTTCCAAACCTTTATGCTTTGTTGGACTTTTTAAACTTGAAACTGTTTCTTAAAATTAAAATTCCCAACCGTTATGCAGAAAAAGAAAAAAGGAACAATTTGGGCCTGTATCGATTTACCATAAAGTCTTGCATTTTCCAGAGGGTATGCATTATTATTTGTAGTGTTTTTAGTCTAATTCAGAAAGTCTCATCTTTCTATTCTCCTTTCATAACATATTATCATCACTGCTATTAAATCAAGCAGTACGCATTCAGGTAACTGGCTGAAATGACATTCAGTATTTCTCATCAGTAGGCCTTAAACATAAGACATGCTTAAGTCGTGACGTCCTCAACCTTTGGGTCAATGAAACTCCGCACGTAACCCTGCAAAGGCAACCGCGTAAACGCGCTCGTACACACCTACATACATAATGCATACATACATACATACACACACATGTACAGCATATTCGCTGCTCCCTGTGTATCGCTGATGTTTGCTCCTGCTGTGTATGTGTATGTATATAATATATATATACATATGTGTGTGTGTGTATGTGTATGTATGTAGTGCATGTATTTGTACGTTTATGTTTGTGTGTGTATCCTGTGTGCGCCTGGTCAGCGTGTTCTAACGTAGGTATGAATTGTGCGGATTCATATGCAATATTAGTAATAGTTTTTGCTAAATGTGAACTAATTGCGCCGTGTCTTCTGCCTTTTCTTCATTTCCTTAGATAGGTATTTTTGCTGATTTATTTCGGGTCTTACGATAGTGAAACATTTTTAGGCGCTGAAGTGAAAACAAATTAGCACGTAAATGAAGGTTAGAAACAGCTAAGGAAGCATTCATCAAATATGGTCATGACAAATTTGACCCCAACGGAATCTTTGTTACATTTGGAGCAGAGGTCATCCAGTGTAATCAATGATAATGAGAATGCTGATGATCGGAAAATAAACTTGAAGGTTTCATTTTTCGGACTTGAGAATCAAGAAGTTGGGCTTACAATTCCTGTCTTGTCTTTTATATAGTACATATAGATTTCGTGATTTAAATGTATATATCAGAATTGATGCATTTATGTTTCGAAACACCTGTCATTTACAAGAAGGAACAAAACTTCCTCTTTGTAACAGCTGATATTGGTTTTAGTTGGTCTTCAGTTGGTCATATAGATAAATCAGGCAGTTCTGAAGGTCATCCAACAGTATATAAAACGTTCGATAAAGATGATTACGGGGTATAAGATTAAAGATTTTAGCTTTAAATGTAGGGCTAGAAAATTGGACTGACTTGAATTTTTTAGAAACAAAAGCGAGAATATCGTGATGAGAAAAAACGAGTTACACGAGAGCTACTTACAGCTTTGCATGATCCGACAATTGTTGTTATGGCTGATTGGTTAAAAGTTCGTGGAACTTTAAAAAAATGGAATCGCTATTTTTGTGTACTGAAGCCGGGTTTATTGCTCGTTTATAAAAGTAGCAAAGTCGATAAGGTGTTCCATTTATAATCATTATTTATCAACCCCATTGACAAATAACTGAAAAAACGGGGAGTGTCTTTAACTCTAGTTTTCAAAAGGTACTTATCTAATATATGTTTCTTGCAAGAGACAACATCAGTTTACATAACTCAGGGAATTTTAAAGTTTCTTTTTCTGTGATTTCTTGTGCATCAGATTTTGTTACTTTTGAAGTCGGGTCAATGGATTGGTACAGTGCTGTTGAACAATTGTGAACTGATCGAAAGACCATCGAAAAAGGATGGATTTTGCTTCAAACTATTTCATCCAATGGATCAGAGTATATGGGCAACCCGTGGGCCTTTGGGAGAAAGCCATGGTGCCGTTACAATTCAACCTTTACCGACTACTTATTTGATTTGTCGAGCATCATCGGCGCAGGTAATGGGTTAACTGTTTTACGCTTGACATGTCTTGAACGTTATGATTTCACAGCTCTGGGTTAGTTCGATTTTTAATGCTGACTCATCCTTAATTGGGGTTCCAAAAGTTGGATGTCTTTGTCATTGATGAATCCTAAAATGGACGAATCGATTTTGTTGAGGAATGAAAATTTTATTTTAATACGGTTACTTTTGTGTTTAGGCAGGCGGCTGTTGGATGGATGCTTTGCATTTGACTCTCCGTTGCAGTGGTCTCTTAATAAGGACCATGTGCAAAGTAAGACTTTATTTTTTAAAATCTTCAAAGTGAGTATGGTCGGTATAAGAAAATATTGTAGTCCATTGTATATTTGCTGTCTAGCTATTCAATTTAATGTGCAAGTTTCGGAAATAATTCTGTTGAAGAGTAGTATCTTCTGTTGAAAATTTAGCTTTCTGGCTGTAATCAGAAAGGCGAAGAAGCAACCATCGATGAACAGAACATCTCTGACAACATTACATATAGTGATACTGTTGAAAGTTGTCGAGAATTTAACGAAGTTGAAGCGGAAAGACATTTTGATGGTTAATTTTGTGCTTTTGCTTTACTCATAATTGTTAGGTCCTGCTTTAAACATTAATCACATTTAGTCTTACGGCATCAAATTATGCAACTCTCAGTATGATGTATTTCAGTTGACTAAGCACTTTTCATTTCGTAATTTCATGTTTACTAAATTAATTGAGGTTTTTTATAAAGGCCTGAATGATGATATTGATCGGAAGACAGTATCAGACAGTGATGATGGCACTATTGATTATGAAGAAAGTTCCTACATCCAGTCAGATCCAGAACAGGTTTGCTTTCTAGCTGTCATTTCAACGTTATCATTTTCGGCGAAAATTTATAACTTGGATTTGAAATGATTCTGATTTGTAAAGGACAAAAACAAAAGATTCTATAAAAGGAGTTCAGAATCACTGTTGTTCAGGTGATTCTAACTCTGAGGCTTTATTTAGTTTGATCCAGCAGTACAAATCGAAGATCTTGCTGATGAAAACAAAAGTCTTATATGGAGTTTACTGAAACAACTAAGACCTGGAATGGACCTTTCAAAAGTTACCTTGCCAACATTCATTTTGGAGCCGCGTTCGTTCCTCGAAAAACTTGCAGATTTCTATTACCACTCATATGTTATTGCCGAGCAAGTTTTCTGACATCTTTTCATCAAAGATAACAAGATCTGCTGTCATAAAAAAAAGATAAGGTGGTCAGTAGCGCTTACTTCTTCCTTTTGCCTTATCTAATTTGTATAAAAAATTTCAAATACTACAGTTTCTGATTTTTTTTTCTTTATTTCGTTCTTGCTTTCATTCTAGAGCCGCTGCTGAGGATGATCCTTTACAAAGGATGAAGATGATTGTGAAATTTTATTTGAGCGGATTTTACAAGAAACCAAAAGGTTTGAAGAAACCATATAATCCGATATTAGGAGAAACATTTCGATGTAAGTGGGAACATCCCGACAATTCGACATCATACTATGTTGCTGAACAGGTTACTTTTCCGATGTTAATAATTACACTTCTTGAATGCTTCTTTACAGAAATTTCTTGAACTGTAAATTCGAATCATTTTATACAGCTTTTTCTGATTTTACTGGTCCATATAGATGTTGATCGTCCACTAAATTTACTCATAAAACGTTAGCAATTGTCTGGACTCTTGGACGATGACCTGTTGAATTTTTCAGAGATCAAATTTAATGCAAATGTTAAGCTAATCAAGATATAATTACGTTATTTATAGAAATCCATTACTGACTGAAATGTTTCTGCGCTCTAGGTCTCTCATCATCCGCCAGTTTCGGCACTTTTTCTTACGAATCGAAAAGCAGGTTTTAATATATCGAGTACAATACTGGCAAAAAGTAAATATTACGGGAATAGTTTATCAGCCATGATGATTGGTGACGTACGAATAACGCTTTTGCAACGGGGTGAAACATATATTGCTACCCTTCCATATGCAAACTGTAAGGGTATCATGATTGGAACATTGTCAATGGAGTACGGTGGTCAAGTGAATCTCTTCTCATTTTTAATATATCAGCATGCTATTTTTAATCTGAATCCAGAATAAGAGTGATTAAAAGGTAGCATTTGAATTTATAAGCTTTTAAAAGAATGTTTCGAATTTTGAATGAAATTTTTTTAAATGGATTCATAAAACTGCCAATTATTTTTGTCAAAACATCATACAAAAAGAGCTCATTTAAGGTAAGAATAGAGTGCAATCGTACCGATTATGTATGCGAACTTGATTTCAAATTAAAGCCATTCATTGGAGGAGCTGTGAATCTTATTACCGGAGATATCAAATGTAGGAAGGAATTGGTGGCACATATTGAAGGGGCTTGGGATGGCGAAATTTATATAAGTGAAAAGGTAAGATTAATCTGCTGAAGACATCATATACTTCAAATCATTTAATCAAAAGAGAGATATGACTGTAAGTTGTAGCATCTTTAATGCTTTTGTGTCTTTAGGTTATTATACCGCTGTTAAAAGCATTTGAACTTTTGACGCAAGAACTGCTAAAGATAGAACAGAATCGTAACTAAGTTGCAATATCACAGCGACCTGTAGCGGATATTAATAATGATATTGGCATGTTTATGTGAAATGAATAATTTTTCGCCATTTTTCTTGCAGGATATAAAGACACTTTTATGGTCAGCAACACCTGATGTAATTGCAAAACGGCTTAAACGTTACGAAGTTCTTTTGGAAGAGCAGGCTGAGTGGGAATCAAAGAAGTGTTTTTTTTTTTTTCTTCGTAGAAGTTTTTGGTCTTCGATTTGGTGATAAGGTTAATGAGGATTGCAATTATTAGTCTCCAATTAAGGTTATGGTTGAAAGTAAGTGAAGCGATAGCTCAAGATAATCAGAAAGCTGCAACAATAGAAAAAGGTAAATTAGAGGATGAACAACGCACTCGTGCTAAATCTGGAGTACACCACAAACCTAAATGGTTCAAACAGGATCTGCTATCGAAAAATTATGAATACATACATGCTGAGTTAGTAATTTTCTTATTCATTCAATTTTTTTTTGTAAGCTATATTAGTCTTGCTTTTTTAATATCGTGGTATGGCAGTATTTCCATGATTCCTAAGCATGTGATGTTGAACTACAACTGAAAAAATTAAAAGTTGATGTGAGCTAATAATTAATTGCCAATGCGATGATGTCAAAATTTTTTGCAATTTGTTATGAAACGTAAGGATAATAATTTTAAAATTACACATTAATGCAACATTGATATTAAATTTGCAAAGACTTATGTTAACATTTTTTATAATGAGTTGTACCTGAAGCAAACGTTTGGAACTCGATATTGTTAAGTTTATGCTAGTAAACGTCTTATTTCTTGCTAAACTTAATGCAGATCTTTTAAAAACATTTACTTCTTTTAAAAGCTTATAGTTATCAAGCATGGGATGAAAATGATGATATTCGTCAAATTGAACATGATTACGTGATACGAACAATTACTAAACATGGGACCAAAGAACGGACTGCTTCACCGCCGAGTTCAACTTCAGTCCATCAAGAACAGTCTGAAGATTCTGATTCACCCGGAAGTATGAATCATTAAGTGCAGACTGAATAACTCTTCGAATCTTTGTAAATAAATAGTTTCTCAAAAGTAGTGGGAATTATCGGGAAAATTTCTGAAGCAAATGTCTCAAGTTCTTCGCGTCTTAATTTTCCATAATAAAAGCGCTCCTTTTCGAAGTCTTTTTGTTTAATTTACTACTTTTTTTTTTTGTTTAATTTGTATTCCACGAAAATTTTTCCATGTCCTAATTTTACAGATAAGCAGTATTGCGAAAAGAAAAAACAACTTAGTTCACGAGATTTCGATCGCTTACAACAAATGCAGGTAAAGCCTTATTTTATTTGCTTTTTGACTCTTTTAACCGCTACACATTTAATTATTTAGGTTGTTGCTTCCATGCACCTAAACTTTTAAATCCTTAAAGGTCACAGTTTAATAAAAATTAGATTTTCTTTATCTAAATTTCTTTGAATGAGAAATGAAATTTGATGTTTATCTTTCTAAAAAAAAAATTATGGTAGTTCAGCATTTTTACGCCGTTGGTTCCATAATTTGTCCTTGTTGAAAATTTTTGACTAATATTTTTAAAGGACACTCTGGATCGTACTATACAGTTCTTGCAACATCTGGAAACAAGCTTTGAGAAGAGAACTAGCGTGGCCGTAACACAACAACAACTAATTGTGATTATGATTTTTTTCGTAATTCTTCATGCTGTCATTTTGCCTCTTTTTTTTGGGTCGTTACGTAATCTATAACTCCTGTGAGTATGTGGACCTTTGAACGTTTTTAATCATGAATAGTATTAGTTCCCAATTTATAAAATTCATAAAAGTGTTTTTGATCATACAAATCATGTTAGTTGCTTGTTCATTAATCATATATCAATCTTTACATTGATATAACTATTACAGCTGCATTATATATAAGGATAACTTCGTCTAATTTCTAAGTCATTTGTTTATTTATAGTCATTATTATATTATGGCTTCCTAAAATTTTCTGTTTCTGGAAATTTCCTTTGCTTTATTGGAATTTTAATACTGATGTATATTAAAAAGGATTTTGTTTTTGCCATTATCTGGACGAATGTTTCCAAAGTTGTTGATAAATTACTTTTCAACATCAGTTAAAGTGTTTCTCACTTCTGGTTGAGTTACTGTTTGTTCACGTAATGAAACAATGAATTCATTTTATCTTTCTATTACATAATTCTTGTGCTATATGGAAGAATTATTCATAAATGAAAAATATGTTTACACATAACATTTCTAATGTAGTGTATTTGAAAATTCCCGCTTCATTCAATTTGATTGGAATTTGTAGTTTCCGACATCTTTCGCCCGATATTTATTATGCCGGTTGAGAGTGTCCGGAATAGGAGTTGTATTTGAGAGTTGCTCGCTGCTAGAATAAAGCGATACGGGAGCGCAGATCTATTTTCTTCTTCATATCTTGTTTGAAAGATATATGAGGAGAAAAATTAAATTGCTGATTATGTCTGGGAATTTCTGTCAACAAAATTGGTCTACTGCGGAAAGTTTTAATCTTCAGAATAAAAGTCCTGGCGAGCACGAAATATAGCTATTTCGTAAACTTTAAAACTTACTAAGGGTTATTAGACTTTCTTAGACTATATGCGTTCAGTGCATTACGGACGCTTGCATACGTGAAAGCAAAAACTTGACAAACTTAATTCTTTTAAACTTAAGTATTAATATATATATATATATATATATATATATATATATATATAGGATGAATTGGTAAGTGATGATTTCAAAAAATGATGAAAGTTAGAACTTTCATTAGAAGTTCCTGTTAACATCACCTTTTCCAAAAGTGACTCGATTATAAAAGGTACGCTGGCATAGTTCTTTGACATGCACTAAAAATAATTATTTGTTTCGTCTAAAAGATTGCGAACGAAAGCAGTTTTGTTAATGAATTAAGATTTCCCACTTTCATGGTTATTAGCAGTGTTACACTGTGAATCTTAGTAATTTTAATCGAGCTGAAGCGGCTAATGGATTTACCACGATTAACTAATGTTTCCGAATTCTGTCGTCGTAGTTCCAAAATCCACTTTATATAATAAGCAATAGATGCCAATTAAAAGATTCGCTGTTTTATCTCCAAGTAAAAATTCTAATTCCAATTTGAAATTACTTTTAACAAGCAAATGCAGTGCAGTGATAGTAAATGCCCGGATCATTACAAAATCAGCTCATTTCGATATCGCGTTATGGAATAGCAATCCAAATCATTACCGTCCATTTCACTCTAATGTGTAGCATAAAAGTGATAATTAATTAGCATAATCTTCTAGCTATCATTATGAAATGAAATTTTCAAGTCCTTCCGAACTGTTTCTCACAATACCACTAAAAACTTCATCTTTCGGTACTAGGCTATTAGAATGCAAACTCAGATTATGTGAGGTCAGTCAAGTCAAACCTCTCTCCAATAACTTATGGTCACTTTCGGTCCACTTACTCCACATATAATTTTATTGCAAACATACCTAGTATTCTTTCCATTACAGATGAGTGGGATAAGGAAAATTTTTATTAGTTGCTTACTGGTCATACCAGCAAACACTCTAAAAAACAATTTGTAGGAAATCTTAAAGAAACTCGCCAGTCAGATTAGGTTATAAGTAAAAATTCTGCTTATTTCGTTTTGTAATGGTATTAGTACGATTGTGCAAAATTATCTAATACACAATGATTTCACCGAAATGATAGATTTTAGCCCGAGAAGAAAGGAAAGATTGACTTAAACAACTCTCATTAAAAGAGTTACTTCTATTTGGCGAACATATTTTGTTGAGAGTCATTTTTTTAATTAGTTGGAAATCCAGATTTCGAAAATGTCCAGCTGTAAATTAGAACCAAAAGCTTTCATTAAGTCGAGTAGACTAAATCAATTATCAGCATTATGAAGAAGTAGGTCTTGGATCCTATTGGGTTAGTGAAAACAATTATAATAATTGGAGATAAAATATCACTTGTTTGTCATAAACAAGTTCTGAATAAGTTTGAACATTAAAGTCAACTTTTTGTTCAACAATTCAAATTTAAAACTAATGAGTTAGCCATATAACATCAGAAAAAAAATTTTAAAAAATGAAAAAAAAAATTCTTTACTGTTACCAACTTCCTGATTAATTAGATTTATTTGGATCGAGCTTTTAATTCAGAGGATTTAAGAGAGTACCTTATTTACGATATTGTTTTTTTTAATTGGCGAAGTAACAACTGCTGAACATGATCCTGTCAGCTATCAGATTTGCGTTACTTTTTTAAATCGCTACGAGACTCCTCAGATTTGATTCGCTGAACTAGTTAAATCGATCATTGATTTTTTTTTTCAAAAAAACCAGTACATCTTGGCCTTATACTTACTCGTTTATATGTCGTTTTATTACTTCATTTGAAATTGAAGTTAGACCTAACACTTAAATCACATCGTTATGTCCAACAATAAAATTTACTTTAAGCCAGCTTCAGTTTACTTTAAGTAAACTGAAGGTCCAATTCCTTTTGTTGGACCAACAAAGCTTAGATTAATTTCGCTGGAATTATCCGTACTTTACATTTGTTCATTTAACTGAAAATTTCATGTATAATTACCAAAATTGTGAAGCAAATTTCTACACTGTCGTTGTTGCAAACTAAAAAAATATAAATATATAACAGTTAATTTTTCTGTTTGAGGAAAATTTGAATTTGAAAATATCAACTAATCTTCCTATCAAAGCGAAATCGTTACAGAATTCTTCTAGACGATCTCATAGATCTGAACAAACTTGAAAAAGTGTCGTTTTATCTTGTCTCTATTACCATTTTATCGTAATTTTTTGATTGTAAGTATTGGAATTACCTATCAGATTTGCCCGTCTCCCTATTTCTTGACAGTAAGATACCAAAGCTAATTTTCAGTCTTATTTTGCCGTTGCACTAATACCGACTTGGTTGAAAAGCTCTTACTAGAAAGTCAAGATTATTTGGAGATTTAGTCATTATTGATGAGATACTACTTGAATTTCAAATCTCTTTATCTTTCAACGTTTGCTCACTATCAGTTTTTTAAAATTTACAAAACATTGCAGACTGAAAATCTACACAGAAAATAGGATAAAGTATAAGTCAAAGTAAATTTGTGAATAAATTTATCCATTAGCAATTCAGGAATTGGTGAATTAAGTAGAATACACAAAATGTAATAAATACGAAGAAAGCATTCATTCTACTCTTTGAGGTCCTATAATTCATCTGAGCATTAAAGATTACAAATACGACATTGAAGGTAGTACGTAAGGTTTAATAATTCAAAAGTAATACATTGTTATCCTCATTACTGTAAGATAAGCCGTCAACACAATGCATAAAACAGGCATTTGATACGTAAAATGCATAAAACAATATTGTGAATAATTTCATTTGCTTTTATACCAATTATCGACAAGAGTTTCGCTATTATCAAACCAAGCGATATAACCACATGTTGCTTTACCCTCGAAACCAAACAGTGAAATCTGATCGCAACGGTCGCCACTTATTTCTGTTGAATTTTGAGCCTGAAGTGGTGCAACACGAAGCAGAATTTTACATTTAATCTTCCTAAACAATTTAATGTATGAAATAAAATAAATTGTATAGTTCGAACAAATATGGTTGTGGATAATTTCATTTGCTTTCACATTCATTTAATGTATAAACAAGTTCAGTACGAGGAACTTTTTGAAATCTGAAAATTTTTGATTGAAAGGAAGTGAAGAAATTGAAATATAAAAAAGTGAAACGGAGAAAAAAAAGTGAAAAAAAAAAAGACAGTCGTTTAAAGCATAATGAAGAAATTACATGATAATTGAAATGATTTACGGAACATTCCAGATGACCACAATGACCATGATTATCGCATCGACAGTAAATATTGTGCGCACTAAATGCACTCATCCAGCGACCACTCCACGTACATTCAGACGGATCACTTCTGAAGTTGGGAAATTGAAATTGTGAATTCAAAAAACAACAAACTGATAATAAGCTACTATTTAATTATTTTGATAGTCTTTTGATATAAAAGAGTGGTTAAATGGAATTAGCAATGTGTAATTAGCAGAAATATTGGAAAACTTAATGGAGTATAGTGTTAATGTCTACTGGCATTGTATATTAAAATTTGCTTTTCTAACAAAAGAAAACTTACTTGCAGCAAAAATGCTTTTTAAAATTTCCACCCAAAATAGTGCTACATGGTTCGCCAAAACTTGGATCCGGTTTACAGACGCCAGCAAACCACCAATTACTACAACGTCCATTGCTATTTCGGATGTAGTCATATTCTGCTTGACAGTGTCCACTACAAAATGGAGCTGTACCAAACCACTTACAGCCACCATCCGAAGGATATGGACGATAAGTCATCGATTCCGTTCCTCAGCTATCATTCCTCAAATCAATTTTTTTCTTAGTTCAAATAACAGGTGCTTTCGGAACTTGAAGGGAAAGAAAATAACCTGAACAAAATAAAGTGAAAAAGTACACAATGCTAATAGAATCGACAATTTGGTTAAAATCTAAAAGTTTTGAGTCCAAAAACCAGTTCTAACTCCAGAACATTAAAGTTTTCGAATTCGAAACTTTTGGCTGTTCTCGACTTCTACATCACGAGATATTCGTTTTCGTCTTACAATAAAAACGCAATATCAGCAATGATTTCTGCATCAAAGTTGGATGCTTTTTCCGTTTACCTTATGAGAAGAGATCATACCGCTTTGTAATTGAGGCGAAGCATAACTTAGAGAAATTCCTACCATTATGGGAAGATGATTTAAATTACCTTTCTTCCCGTAACGTCCTACTTTGTAGATATTTTCATTTACAGCAACCACTACGAAAACTGATAACAAACGTACCAATGATGTCATGCAGAACGGCCTCAATTACTGGCTCCGCGTCCTTCTTCATGCGTACATGTCTCTTCTCACGTTCTAAGCTTAACTTTGAGTAAGTAATTTCAAACGTCTTTTCAAAATTGATGAATACCCCACAGTCCAGTTAATTTATTTTTTATTTTGCATTTCTGAATGTCGTTTCTCCGCATGCATATTCAAATTTTATTTGAAATTTAAAATAAAAAGCATTTAAGAAAAAATCACAAGAATTTACCAATGATGCCAGTTACGAAAGCATTGACGAATGGCGTGCTCAGTACTCCCACATCTCGATACACTCTTTTCATTCTAATGCCTAAATAAAAATCGATTTAAAGACTGATTCCTAAAATACTTATTAATTTCTATTTCTCTTAATCATAAAAAAGACATATGCATACCAACTAACACTTCCCACTCCATTACAGTTTTAAACTGTTTGTTCCCTAATCTTATCAAAATCCAAAAACATGGATTTAAAAGTACTATTTAAGACTTTAAGTACGCTGTTGTAATTTGAGTTTCCTGAAAACATTGTTGTTCCAAAATGAAGAGTGCCAGCAGCCCAAACAGACTCCTCATTCATGATGAAAAAAAACACAGGGAACGACTGATACAGTGGAGTCAGTGACATAACCGATGGTACCTAAAATAATTCCCTAAGTATTGTACCAACCTTTAGAAAATGAAACAAACTTTAAAAAATGCTTGCTTGACTACGCATCACAAAGCAGCAGCTTGCTTAACCATCTGCTTTTTGCTTCCTCCGTATCGATTATTTACGATAAGATCAAAATTGCTTTTCATCAATTTTCAAAAAAGTGCTTAGTCGTTTAGATCAAAATAAGCTGATACTAAGCAGTGAAAGATTGCTTTCCGTAAAGGGAACAACAATTAGGGAAAGGAAATAAGAAATGGAAAATATAGACAGAAACAAGCGATCAATTTTAAGATATGTAATTAATATAGCACGGCAGCAAGATGGTCAGTAACTAAATAATTCATTAGTTAAAGAAGGATTAGAAATCAGTGCTCAAAGTAAAGCAAATGACTGAAAAAATCAAAATGTAAAAGAAAATTAAGCATTAAAAAGCTAGTCGACCTCTTGACTGTGTCAGCTAAAAAAAAGATAAACGAGATTTTTGGCACTGCATTAAAACTAGTGAGACATTAAATATTTGACAAATTATACCTCTTTTTTCGTTTCTGATAAGTTTCAGTTTTTTTGATATAATTTAAGGGGAAGTAATAACAAATGTAGAGAAAAAATTCCAAAAAAGGAAATAGAACTTTTTCTATCAAAATCCGAAATCTCTAAGACAAATCTAACTTTTGTCAACTGATATGATGGCCGTTTAATCATAACTGTCCAGTGGTCAGAAAAGTTGAATGTTTATGATCACCAAACTTTCATTAAAATTGTTAGTAGTGCAGACGAGTGCATTTTTATGAAGGATATCTTTCTTCTAATATGTAAATGAGTTTCGTTCGACTTCAAAGCATTTTTTTAATGTAAGTATTTATTTAGCAGTCTCATTGGATGAAGATTACGTAACCTGTTATACCATTAACAAACGTTGTACAAATAGTCTGATGGACGCTACAAACTGCAAATTGAAATGTCAGTTTCTAGAGCAAAAATTTGATATCATCGGGAATACATCTGACCATCTTGCCTGCTGGTCTCTTTTTCCAACGACTATCACCTCCACGTAATAAGAAGAGTTGAATTATTTTAGAACTAATAGTGCGAGGAAATGAGAGAAATTCACAGTTGCTGTTGTAAGTAGTAAGCATGTATTTATGCAAGAATCAACACATCAAAGTGAAAATTCGCACTCAAACGGAAAATTGGGATGAAGAGTGTGTTGCACTTTAATTTTTTTAATTTGATGAGGAAGTATAGTTAAGGATATCAAAGGGATTTGAAAAATGTGAAATAATGAATTTTTTTGAGAGAAGCGATAAGCTGCTTTAACGCTATTCGATATGGATAACTATGAAGATATTTCAACTGTGAATTATCCAGATTTTATCCCTTCCTACCAACACAACAAGAACACTTTTTGTTTGGATTGACAAAGCAGTGTTATGAAGAATGATATCTCAGAGTGCAATAGTCTTCATTTGGAGGTAATAATTGCCATTGGTTTGGAGAATGAAAGAAAGGAATTTAATTTGCATGGGTGAATGTGAAGTAATGCAGAACTTCTAAGGAGTCAGAACGCTTCAATAATACGACTTTGGTTCGCATTTTTGCAAACAGTTCAATTTGTAAATTGTAAATCGTCCATAATTCCAGTGAAAGTTACAAATAATTCAGAATTAAAAGCGTAAATTGTGAAGATGAATTAAGCGTTGAATTCAAAGTTTACAGATTTACATGTTTCGGTAATGAACTTTAAGAAATGGAACTGAACAAAGTGGAATAGTTATGCGGAATACTTCGAAATAGACTTTAAATTATATAAGCACTGTAGGGAATAAGCCGCTTCAAGCTCGTTCCATTTTTTTTGAACATCAAATAAGTGCCATATTCCGGTTTGTCACTGTCGATTAACGCTTGTTGGAAGTGTATGACAGTGTATAGACGTACAAAGTGGAAGATGATCCCATACTTGATTATGAAATCATCTACCATCAAACAACAGTTGATACTGTTAATAAGTAATTTAAAACACCTGGCAGTAAATCTAATGTTAAGATCAAAATAATGAGGTCACGCATCTGTATGAATGATTCATATTGAAATTAATCTCGTTTGTCTGTCAATCCCTATTCGAATGATAACTGCAGTGGAAGTAAAACGAAAAATTTCCCCTTTTTTAAATTCCAAGATTATGCTAGTAAACTCAGTCCGTTCCTCAGTATACACTATCGGTTGATTCTTCAGACAGCAGAGCTGTTTCCGGAGTCCTATTTTCAATTTTAATTTCATTATAATTAAATGAGTAACTATAAAAGGTGGTAATTGACACAAATAGTAAGCATGTCACAGTCATTAAGGATTCACTAATCCATGAATAAATGAAAATGAAAAGCCTTCTTCTTGGGAGCGGCTGAAAATCAAATGAGAACGTGCCGTGTCTGTCTGTCTGTATTATGTCTTTTATGTGTGTGTGTTTGTGTGCTGTATTTATATCTATGCTATATGTATTTATATCTGAAAGGCAGTACACGTGAAAAAGATGAACGATGATAGAGATGGGATCGGCAATCTAGCGCCGAGATATTGATGACTCATTGATAGGGAAGACGACGAGGGCACTAATGTTATTCGAAAAGGAGGATAGGAAAGGTATTTGGTAGTGTCGTGATTTTTTTGATTTCTTCATAAAATATTAAATACTGCCTCTTTTCGTTTGTTAGCTGATTTGATTCGTATCTTGAAAAAGTAATCTGGTTTTGCTCAAATCCTCGGAACATTATACTAATTTTTAATTGGCACGTAAGTAAGAAATTAGCTGTATGATAAGAGAAGTCTTGTTAAATTGGTAAAATTGCACGTGCAAAAAAATTAGCCTGAAAGTGTACATAAAACTGAGAAATAATGAAGGTTGGAATTTTAGCAAAAGTCATAATCAGATATCTATGCAAGTATATCAAGTCATATTGAGAAGCTTGAACGTATAGAATACTTTGTATGTTCGATCATGAAGGATTACGATGTTTTGGTTTTTCAAATGATTTTTGTTCTTACATGGTTATATGATCTTAAAATTTCTGAAGGGCTGGTATTTTATTGCTTTAGCTTTTTGGAAAATTGATTTTTTTGTGCGGAGTATTTCTAAGTATATTTTCATATTCCCAAAAATTTGAACAGTAACGGACTTCAAGTGTATGTATAAAAATAACTTTAGATAATCTGCACATTCAGAGTTATTCAGTGTACTTTTCACAATCATTAGCACATCATTCATTGTATATAAAGTGTCCTGTGGACGAATCAAGCTTGGGTTGAAAACTTTTTCCTGCAGTTGATATTATTTTAATACCCTCTGCAATAAATGACAATAATACAATACTAATTTGACTAAAAATAATTTTAAAAGGACTAAAATAATTTTAGTTTAAAAAAATCAAACTGAAAAGCAAGTTTATTTGATCATAAAAAATGCATTCAGTAAACATTCAAAAAACACTCCTAGTCAACGACACTATGAAATCAAAGCACAGGATTCTAGACTAAGAGAATGCAATAATTTAAAAGGTGTTTTTTTTTTAACTTTTGTACAATTAGTCTTTTAAAAATCATCTGCTAGTCAAAATTGCTTTTCTTTAAAAAAAAAAAGTTTAATTTACCTAATTTTGAATTCTAAAATAAATCAGAGCCTCTACTATTGATGATAAAAATGTTTCAACTGGAATTTCATTATCATAAGCAAATGATCACCAAAACCAGGGCTAGAGCCAAGTATATTCAATAAGCGTCTCTGTCTCTGAAAAAAAATAAATTAGTGGATGCAATCTTAATGTCTTATGTCTACTATC